GCACTTCTTACAGTTTCAGAGTCATTTAGAGAGTTCCTCCTGCTAGATATTCTACTACTAGATGCACTAGTCGTAGCTGAACAACAAGAGATTTCATTATCATCATCATTATTGTTWAYATTTGTGGACTTTTCTTTGTCTTCTTTGCCCAASCCTACAGCATCACACTGAGGCAATTTCAAAGCCACATGACTTTGCTTTGCTTCCGYTTCGTCGCTTTTAATAATGTTCTCCACATTTTTATACTCCAGGTTCTCGTTTTGTGCAATTTCAGAGCTTATTTCTTGAAGTTCAGAGTGTTKTCCAGCAAGTTTATCTTCACTTTCTTGAATACATTYAYTTTTTGACAAAACGTCACTAGTACTGCTAAGAAACTCTTGAACTTTGAGATTTTCTTGCATGTCTTCTGTCTTTACACCTATTACATCTATCTCGTCGTCGTCCTCTTCGCTTTTAGCTTCATTTTCGTCTTGGTTTTCCGCAACGTGCGCCATATTGAACTTGTGAAGTCAATTTTTTCACCTTGTATAAAGTCCATGCATTCTGAGATAATCCAACTAAAAATATAAATTACGTTCAAATATACATTTACTTGACTTTGTGAACATTTCTAAAGTTATAATGATACTCAAAAAGTTCCAAAAAACTAAATTCTATCTTGCTTGCCTTGTTTACGTTTTTCATTTCGGCGCCATTTTTGCCTTGGTATCCCTGTGGTTAGTACCAGTCTCTTTATCCGCGTTATGGGAAAGAGTCAAGGAAAGTGGAAATAATAAAAGTGAAATGGAATCAGAAATTCATTGTTGGTGTTTATGGTGTGATGTTCTAGAGTGCTTTAGAAGACAAATTGGATTATTAAATCCGAAAAGAAAGGTCTTTCAGTCTCAAGGATCTAAAATTGCCCAAAAATTTCACTTCTAAAAATATTCGTTGTTTTTCGCGTGAAACACAAAGCTTAAATCCCGAGATTTCTTTTTCTTTTGATATCGAATTACATATCTGTATGATGCAATTCTAACAGCAAGAACAAAAACACACATCAAAAATTATTTTGCCAGTCATAACTTTTGTTTTGTCTGTGAGAAAAAAGACGGTAACTTACTTGTTACCGAATAAATCCCGAACGGTTACGAGTCTGCGCGATCACTTTAAACGACTGCTTCGTAACTGCAATGATCAGCTAATTTTCGGAGTTCTTTGATGCGGTATCTAGAGGTGTAGRTATCATGACATCACATAATAACGTCYCTTTTCTGGTGGCCGTCGTATTGAAGTACCCGAACTACTTGAGCAAGTCAAACAGACAAAACACAATTGAAAAACACTTTTTTTCCAAAYTTAAACAAAACAATTTTTCATGAATTTTTGAAAGAGAAGTACGAATGAGGACTTTACTGAAAGCTCTTTGGATAATCGTGGGCGTCTTACTGGTGGAATGCTCGGCCAAAAGGGCAACGAACAAAAACAACGAGGAAGAAACTTCACGTCATGGTAAGGTGTTTTTGAAATACAGGTGGTCATCGGGGCATCAAGAACTTTGATCTTTCTTCTTGGTGTCACTTGTTTACAAAATATATGAGATCAAATTGTTATATTTTCTATAAAAAAATGAAATCGGCAGTATTTTTAGTTACAAGTGTGTGGTATTATATCGATGAAGTAAGCTAATCACGGATATACAAAATGTGGAATTTTACAGTCTTACTTCCTGCAGTGGACATTAGAAACCAAAATTTAATAATTATTGAAGTCTTTATTATTTAGTTGAAACTATTAATCAGAGTTTTCTTCTAAAATGCAACGTTCTTTTAAGGAAATTTAAAAAATATAGGATTTTGAAGGAAACATATTAAGCTTAAGTTTATTTTTAACCGAAACGTGCGCACGCATATATTTTTCATTTCAGTTTAGATCGAGATGATGAGATTGATTAGTTTTACACAAAGAAATCTTGTAAACTGGCCTCGCTTTTATTAGCTAACCCATTCTTACACCCCACGGGAATAAGAATTGATCTATTCAAAACCGGTTTTTGTCTTAAAAGAGCCCAGCGGGGTATACCTGTGACCAATGATGAAATGTTGATAACCTAATACTGTCAGATCCATTCTTACTCAATCAATCTCCTTGTCGGACTGCAATCGGCAAAGACCTGAGATCATTACCACAAGACTCGATTGGACGACTCAGCCAGGGAAATCTAATATTAAAGAAACTTATCAACAGAATTCGTCTAAAAAATTTAGGATTAGCTAATTTAATTCTGCAATGGAAAGTTATGAGCCTAAAGATTACCTCAATATAACATATTATTACTCTATTAATGGTGGGGTTGCTGTGTACAATAATTACTGGGCTGCTTTATTTCTTACAGTTTCAAAGAATGTAAATACCAAGCGGCAAGACATATCGACRATTCCAGGTCTAGGACTTGCAGCTGAGCTTGGTAGGCATAGAGAACGAACAATACAATGATTGCAYGCAAAAGAATGGTTGGACTGCGTGTGTACAGTACTGGCAAATTTCTAATTYACTTTCCTTTTTCTAATTCCTCAGCCATGATGCCATCCAAAAATGCTTCAGTGACWCATGCTGCTTTGGTGGGTAGTTACGCAGGGAGCAGTGCCGGAGCAAGCAGCGGAGCACAAGCAGGAGCAAAAGCAGGCGCAACAGCAGGAGCCGAAGCAGGAGCAAGTGCTGGGCTTGAAGCAGGGAAAAAAGCCGGTRTTCAGGCAGCTGCYAGGATTGCCCATCAGATTGTGGCGGAAACGATGTCGAAAATCAATCTTCTAATGGCAACTCAGGGACACATCTTAAACGTGTGGGCCAATACATCTTCTAATGCAGGGGCAGGAGGAGCTGGTCAAGGAGGTGGTAAAGGCACGGGRAATGCTGGAGGCCAAGGCGAAGGAGAGGGTGAAGGCCAAGGAGGGTCTAGTGGGGGAACTACATCGAGTGGAGGCGGAGGAGGTGGTGGAGGCGGAGGAGGGGGTGGTTCTAGCGGAACCTCAGGAGGACCAGGAGCTCCGGGTGGAAACGGGACTTCCGGTGTAAGTGGGTCATCTGGAGTTATCGTTGGACCTGGAGGTGGTGGAGGGACCAGTACGTCGTCGACTGGTGGGGGTGGAGCAATTACAGTTACACCTGTGACAGGACTCTATTCTGCTGCTGCGAATTTTGCCGCCCTGCAAGCAACAAGCGTTACTGGTGCAGCACTTAAAAGTAAGCTAWCGCATGATATCAAGAATTATMCAAACCTCCAAGGTTTTCTGCTATTCCTTACAGCGGAAATCGTCGCATCGCGACCTCTTTGTTTTGAAGTTTGTCTGGATTTTGTTCTTTCTTTCAATCTGAGGGGCGGAGCTTTTCGAAAACTCGTTCAATCATTGGCTGATTATCAAACTTCAAACTGAGTATCAAACTTCGCCCCCAAGTCGCAAAAACCTAAATCCCAACTATTTCTGCTGTAAGCCTATAGATAACTGATTCATTTRTATAAGTTTTCATTCCGTGCTCTGCATCAACCAAATACTTACTATTTTAGCTTAAAACAAAGGTTCTTCTTAACTTCTTAGATGTACTTTCTACCTCTAATCAACCATGTATAATATCAACCATAATTTCTTTGTATTTTGAATTTATAGTAATGGACAAGGCCTTATACATGATTTTCTCAATCAGTACACCACTGGTACAAATATATTACAAAAACTACTGTCTACGCGCCAACGCAATGGAGTTATTTTGGAGCAGCCATTGCCAGTACTTTATTGCACATGTTCCTGGACTGAACAAAGACCCYGATACCGTGTCGTTCGAGTCGATCTGTTWCCCTGGTGCTTACATTGTACAGAAAGACTATCGCTTTCTCTTGGTCAACTTAACTMTGGACAAAAACTTCTGTAAGAATTATYAYCCTTTACAGGTTTTAAAAAGCTGTTCTTAGTTTTTCTTTGTGGTGACTGGACGCTGCTATAACTCACAGAGAATAACAGACTGTTKTCCTTTGTCTATACTTTTTGTTAATGATATTTTTCTCCCTTAACAGTCAAAGAAGCAACATTTTACATTCGTCGCCACGAAGAATTGAGAGAAACATTCTCATTCGCTTCTTTCCACGAAGGATGGTACTTGGCCATTGGAAATAATGTTGGTCTAGCTTACTACGAAGCTCAAATAGCATACACTAACTACACGAGGGAGTTTGACTTACAGACATCGTTTGTTTTGAAGCCATATCAAGGAGACAATCCTTTGAAGAACTGTGMAGTGGAGAAAATCGTGCCAACAACTCTTCCTACTGTTCCACCAACTGTGCCTAAACCGAGAAGTAAGGGTCATATTTCATTAATCGATTTTTTCTATTCAACTTGCTTTTTTCCTGAGTAACATGAGATCATGCAGCCAGGGATGTTCGTTGAAGTAGTCAACCAGGGCTGTTGTGAGTGATTATGGCTATAAGGTTTGTTACGTCCTCGGTAGTCTATTGAATGAAGTGGATGGAGACGTAACCGGTGATAGGACTAGGAATTGAACTCGGTCCTCAATTACATCGGTGCTACAATAACAGAGTTATGAACTTATAAATACGTAACAGCATCAATCCCATTTCAGTAAAATGCATTGCTCTGATGTTTGTCAACAAAGTTGGCGTGCCGTTCACTATTAAATCAAACCTCAAGCCATCCGGTTGGGGAGTCAATGGRCAAGTGATGAAGATGAACTTTACTTTCAAGCGACCAGAATTGCACAACTTCGTCACGTTCCATGCKCTTGACACTAAGAACACGATGAAGATATTTTTGGATAATGACACCTCCATCTCAGTAATGCCTACTGAAGATTGTAAAGTCTATATTCCCGTGGTAGCAACGGGTGTTCCTGGTATGTGCACCAAATATAATATACGTTTACACTGTAGAAGTTTAAGCCACTTGAAGTGRGGCTTCTGTAACATGTTAAGGGTCGATAATTCGAGTCAAAACCCGCGCACAGGTGGAAGTATTTTAGAGGCTTATCGACTTATTTTTCACATTGAGTCATGCTATCAAAGGACAAACACAAAATAATAATGTTTTCAAACTGCAATTGAGAAAACCSTTCAAGAAAWATTTCAAAGGACTGAATTGKCTGATTCTTGAAAKCATAAAATTGGAAGAATAAGAAAGGCTTGAACAAATATCATTTTAAGAATTATACGTTCTGAGCATCTGAAAATTTGAAAAGGCTAGGAAAAAAGTTACTTTGTTTCATTAACCTAGTTCTATACCTGCTTCTAGTACCAACAACACCACCGACGACTGCTACAGTTCCTCCCAAACCAACCACACCACCACAGCCAATACCAGTAAGCGAACCAGCTTTACCACCTGCACCAACTCCAGGAATAGCTTCGGCTCCTCCACCACCTACAACAGTACCTACCACAAAGAAACCATGCATTCCACCWTGTACACCACCAACAACGCGGCCTCCTCCACCACCCCCAGGTAAGTCATATTTTACTTGTGAAGGGTCATGTCCAATTCATCCTGTAATATATGTTGTCCAGAGAGAAATAAAAGTGATGATTGCACGATAGAAGTGAACTGTGGGTATTTAATACTGATGAGGGATATTCATGTATCTGTAAAGATCACAGAAAGAAACACTAGCTCATAATAAATAAGCTCCACTTTCTGGTACACCAGAAAGCTTGGTCAATTTATCATAACGCGTTTTTGTATTTTTCTTCYCTCAGGACCAGGAATTCACTACCACATTCATT